GTGACGTTGGTGGCGCGCGGCCCCTCCCCCAGCCCGGCCGGTGCCGTCGGGCGAGTCCGGCCGATTCGGGCGCTGGGCGAAGATGCCGGTGGATTGCAGGCCCGGCGACGCCGCGCAGACGCCGGCCTCGGCCGTAGGGCGGGTTTCACCGTCTCCCGAAGGGTGGCACCGGGTTACACGGCAGATGTGCTTCTTTTCAAATCAAACCTGCTCCCCAGAATCACCCTGCGGGCAGAGGGGTCCCGGGCCGGGGTTTCTAAGGCTGTTTGGTTTGAAAAGGATGGCGGCGTTACATGATGTAGGTCGTTTGCTCCCCACGCTCCCCGCCACACCATGTGTTCAGTCCCCCCCTTTTCTTATCCCCTCCTTGGGCTTTTTGTTTACTGATTTGCTGGTGGGGTGTTGTTGTTTTTTGCCGCTTTGGCAACTCCATCCACACCCGGGGCCCGGACTGAAAAGCTAACAGTGACCAACCATTAGACTGTGGAATACGCTCTTGGAGTGAAGGAAGCCCATCGTTTGGGACGATTAAAACCGGATTCTGCAAAGCCCGGGAACTGACCGTAGGGCTGACCCCTGAGCTGGCCGGATGGACACGTTAAGGACCCAGTAGGCCTTTGCCACCCCTGACTTTCCGTTTGGAGTTAGATCTAGACAACAGGACGGTGAAGGGAGGGCAGGGCGGCCAGGTCAGGTCCGGACCCCATGGCTCCACGCTCTCCAACGAGCTCTGCCTTTGCACCCCAGTCTCCACCGGAGGATGTGACCTGAGCTGTCAGTCAGCTTGCTCTTGCCCAGTGTTACCTGTGATGTTTACTGTTGGAGTTTGGTAAACGGCGCAGTCTGAGCTCCTTGTGCAGTTTTCCGTGTCATTCTGTTTATGATCGAGTCAGGTCTTCCAAAACTGGTGGGGAGCAAACGCTACGCATGTACATGTGTAATATTTTTAAATAATGAACTACATTTGTAAGTTAAGGAGGTTTACGTTAAAGGGAAAGTAAATTTGGAATCTAATAAAATGCAGTCACTTCATACCCTGAAATTTTTGGCCTGTAAATGTCTTCCTTGGGGTCCTTATTCAAAAGTCGGCATTAAAACATCAGGCGGACTTTTGTTGGTCTCTCTGCAGTCACTTTTGCGACCCTAAATCTGAGTGTTGACGTGAAATTTCACTGGCTCACTTGGTGGTTGTTTGACAGCTGGACATTGACAGTCCTTCATTAAGTCGGTTGTGTTAAAGGCACAGCAGGAAGTGCTTGTCTTACTCTTAATTGGCCAAAGGACCTGTTGGTCCCTGTGGCACATGGATGTGTGTCATGTATGTTATTCCCTGGGGTTGCAAAGTCCAGAAGAAAATACTTGTCCTGCATCCTCTAATAGTTTCACTCTGCGCCCAGTGAACCTCCTTAAACTGCACGTATATGTCACTGTTCCTATGTATGTGTGTCTCTCTATCACATAACCCAGCACTTATTTCCTCAGCCAAGTGGCTAGGGGGCGAGCCTAGCCAAGATTTTACCTCCCATGGACGCAAGTTTCTTTGGTGAAGATCTCTCCTGAGAGTTCGGGACTAGCAGAGAGAAGCGAGGAAATTGCGACCCTTTGGTTCTTACGGATAGGTATTTATGTATTCGGTTTGTGTGAATGTAAGCTATGATATTTGACTTTTCAGAAACTTTTTTTTTTTTTTTTTTTTTGCAAATGGCATTGAATAGTTGACCAAACCATAAACGGTAAGAACTGCCAGTGAAGTGGATCTACCATTTATGCTATTAAAGGGTTATTTACCTTTAATTACAACTTTTATCATATTGTAGTTTTCTACAATATAGATTTTGTTATGATAACTTGAGTTTACAAGTAGGTGAGATGTGACTGGCCAAATTAAATATAAATGTGAGAACAGTTCCTATGTTCGTTTTAATACTTTTATTTCTTTATTTTAATTGGTAAGTATATGTATACACATATGTTTATATATGTAAGCTCACACACAAACCACTGTAGATGTTAACTTCTTTCCGTTGACCAGCATGTTCCTATTGCAGATATGATGGGCGCGGTCACCTGCATGACCTTTCTGAGTACGACGCCGAGTATTCCACCTGGAACAGAGATTACCAGCTCTCCGAAGAGGAGGCGCGAGTAGAGGCCCTGTGTGATGAAGAGAGGTATTTAGCCTTGCATACGGACTTGCTTGAGGAGGAGGCGAGGCAAGGTACTGCTCAAGAAAGACTCCTTAAGCAACAAACGTTTTAAAAATTTTTAAGTATTTAAATTTACTCCCATTCATTTTTTTATACTCACTCTTTCTGATATTATCTTGACAGTACCCAGTGGATTGGAAAAACAGGCGTCTTTGCGTTCTGGGAGGACCTCAGGATAGTTTATATATAGAGCCACAGAGAATTGTCCCAGCTTTTGAGGGCAGACTGGGATTTGACAAAACAAAAACCAAACTCTTTAACTGTTCCTCTTTAACAGTATCGTATAAACTAAAATTGGTGTTCTTGTCTTTGCTTTAACCATCTTTAATGCAGTTCTTAAATCCCAAATTTCTCAGCAGGAAGAAATTTTCCACAAAAGTCGTGTATTCTGCTGTCTGTGGTAAAATGTACTGGCAGGAGTACATATTGATAGACATGAAGTGGGAATTTTTAAAAACATTCTTGCCTTGAAAAGAGGTTGAAAAAGTGTATGCTTTACTGATAGCTACAACTTTAGAAACATATGAAATTTTTCTCAGTAAATTTCCATTTTGTTAATAAAATTCTCATTTTTATTCAAGAGGAGGAATATAAGCGCCTGAGTGAAGCCCTAGCAGAGGACGGGAGCTACAATGCAGTGGGATTCACATACGGAAGCGACTACTATGACCCGTCAGAGCCGACCGAGGAAGAGGAGCCTTCTAAACAGAGAGGTGTGGGGAGGAGCCGGGGGGGAAGGGGGGGCAGTGCCAGGCAGGGCGCTGTGTGTGAAAGTGGGCAGGCCTCCAGAGCACGGCCATGGCCCTGAGTCCTTGTGACATCACTGTGACACAGAGCATTGGGGGGCTCCTCCTTAGGGTAAAACAAAGCTGAAACTAGGAAGCGACTTGTTGATGGAGATGGAAAGTGAACCTGACTCTTGTTATCTGTGCCGGGTCTTGTTTTTCCTGTTTCTCTGATTCAGGGGACAGGAAATACCTGGATTCTAGAAACTCACTCCAGATTCTCTGTTTCTAGATTGACAGATATGCATTGATACCTGTCTGCAGTGGTTTGTTGTAGGGGCATTGATAGCATAGGCCTTGCTACTTCGTATCCCCTCTGCAACTGAAACCCTGGCAGGTGTCCCGTGGGAGGACCTAGACACACACTGACCACAGTGTTTTAAAGTAATATTTACGTAGGATTAAAGATTTCAAATTCACATTTTTCTGGCTCAACTGTTGAACTTTGCATATTTAAAAAAAAAATAATGCTGCTGAAAAATCGACTGGTGGAACAGACATCCTTAGTCGCTTTGGTGGGCCCTGTGATCACCATCGCTACAGCCCAGCATAGTCATCAGTCATTAACTGTCGGGGAAAATGCTACAGGCCTGCAGCACTGAGGACGGGCCACTGCCTAGAAGATATTTTGTGGAAAGGGAGGGAGAAGTTCTACCTTAGAAACCCATTTGGATGTTTATACGTCCTACAGGGACTTAATTTTAGAGCTGAGTGTGGTCTCTGGGACCTGATTGGTTTCTACTTACCTAACAGACCTAGCAAGTGTGAAGTGATGATGGCAGTCAAAGGACAAAATGCTGTCAGCCCTGCAGGTGCACCTGCCCCGGGTTCTCCACCCTCAGCGAGGGTGTGATCCTCATAGGACAATAGGGTGTGGGGTGGGCCTGGGCATCCAGTCCCCTGCTGCCCTTTCTGCCCATCCTGCTCATCACTTCTCAGGCAGAAGAACCACCATTGCACTGCCCTGTTCTGTGAGCTGCTGAAGGGTTTTCAAACGTAATTTTCACTGTGTTCCATTAAAGCCCTGTTAAGGTATATAACACCTGTGATAACTCTTGGACTTTCACTGGAAATGTTCTTGCAGGTGTAAGAAGTGAACACTCACTTCTTCATCCAGATAAGTTACTCACTATAGGGTCCTAGGTAGCTCAGACCTCGTCCTGTCTCTGAGCCCTCTCCGTTACATCTGCTCCAGATGCGTGTTGTTTTGGATCAGAGGGGAGGAGTGCACAGTCGCCATTTCACAAGGGAAGAATTGAAATTTACGAAGGCTAACCGTCTTTTGTAGGACCCAGCGACTATCTTTGGAAAACTCCATACTGCTAATTTCTTAACCTTCTAGGTTAGAGATCAGCAGATCCCGACCAAAGGCCCAGTTGGCACATTTCTGTAGTTTTATTGGACACAGCTATGCTCGTTCGTTCACGTGTCATCTGTGTGGCTTTTGTACTTCCATGACCGAGTTGCATGATTGAGACGCAGACCATGTGGCCCGAAGAGGTGGAAGTACTTACTCTGGCATTTTACCGACGGAGGAAGTGGAAATGGAAAGGGTACATTTTTTGTAAAAGAGGCAGTTTGCTTGGAGGAGATGTCTTGTAGTTACACTCAGGGCAAAGCTTCACAGTTCGATGGGGAAATTCAGTTTTCTCAGGATTGAGCACCTTGGGCTATGTCTGACACCCTGGGGACTCAGAAGTATTGTGGCAGGAGCCTCAGCAACACTTGTCAAACACACAGACCAGAGAGGCTGGGAGGAAGAGGACTGTACTGAGTGCCTGATAAGTGGAGCAGTGAGGTGCAGGCGTTCATGTGTGTTGTCTCACCCAGACCTTGCCTCGGCCCTGGGAGAGGATGCTGCTGCTGCTGCCTTTGTGCAAAGGGGGAAACAGTTGGGCCCTCGCCCAGGGTCCAAGACCTAACGATGACCTGGTCCCGGGTGCACGCTCCTACCACCCCCTATCTTGGGGATTTGCTGACGTGGTTTTACTTGTGGTGGAATAGATTGGGAAACTGGGAAGTTTCTAGAAGAACTGCTAGAAAAAAGGTCAAGAACCCGCTAAGGCCGGGCGCTGCACTCCCTGTGTGGTGGTTTACTGTGGTGGGTGCCGCCTCTCCTGGGCATGGTTCTGAAGTTTGTGTTTTCTTTTTATGCAGAAAAGAGTGAGTCTGAGAATGTGGAGGAGAGTGAGGAGCCCTTCGTTGCCCCTTCGGGACTGAATGTGCCGCCTGACGTGGAGCTGGTACGTGCATTTCTCCTCAGTCCTGTTGGTCATGGTTACTCTCTGTGACGGGCTGCTTGTAGGAGAGCCCGGCAGTCACACCTGTGTCACAGACCCACACTGCTCCAGAGTCACTTGTGAGCTAACGGAGGAAAACCAGGGTTATTTCTCTTTTATTTTCTTTCTTTTAATAAGGTGATGACTTTATTTGGGGTTCACCTATTTATTTACTTTTATTTTTGGGTTAATCTTCACCTGAGGATATTTTTTCCATTGAGGGAGAGAGAAACATCGATGTGGGAGAGACACATTGATTGGTTGCCTCTTGCACACGCCCCACCAGGGATCAAACCTGCAACCTAGGTATATGCCCTGATGGAAATGGAACCCGCAAGCTTTTGCTGCGCGGGACACTGCTCCAACCAACTGAGCCACCTGGGCAGGGCAAAACTAGGGTTATTTCTGTTTTGAGGCCTGCAGCCAGTGGCCAAGAGGAAATATTGATAATGTGAATTTGTGTTTTCTCCCAGCCGCCCACGGCCAAAATGCATGCCATCATCGAGCGCACTGCCCGCTTCGTGTGCAGACAGGGGGCGCAGTTTGAAATCATGCTGAAAGCCAGGCAGGCCCGGAACTCTCAATTCGACTTCCTGCGCTTTGACCACTACCTCAACCCCTACTACAAGTTCATCCAGAAGGCCATGAAAGAGGGGCGCTACCCGGTGCTGGCCGAGAGCAAAAGTGATGAGAAGCAGAGTACGTGAGGCTTTGTTCCCTTTACCCTGTGGGGGGAGGGGCTCTGAAAGCACAGAGGTGGTTCTCATGCATGCCATGGAGGCCTGCACCTCAGAACCCGGGTGTCTGTGAGACCCTGCCACAGGAGGTGATAGACCTGATGCCACACACCCTCCCCCTCAGTGTGCACATTTGAAGCTCTTCCTGAGTTGGGAGAGATTAGATTCTTAATTAACATTTTTATGGTTGGGTGAAACATAATTAAATGCTGATGCTATCAGAACAGACCGTCTAGGTTGAGGACTATCCCCTCCCATTGGCTGCGGGGTGTTTCTAGGAAAAGCAGTGCACTGCCCACGGAACTGGGGCCCGAGCCCACACCTCCCCTCCCTTGTGTGCAGAAGCAACCTGCCGACTCCACTTTCGCTTTCACTCACCTCTCCCTTGGCTGTGGTCCTTATGACAGTGTCCAGATTTGGAATTCTCACAGTGAACCCCATTTTGAACAACAGTCACAAACAGCGGTCTCTACAAATGTCTGCCCTTGAAATTTTTTCTTTTCAGCTGAAGTGTGATTTTCAAAAGCAGTTGTATAAATCCTCCGATGCTCTCACGGTCACCATGTGTGTTTGTGGTAGATTTTAAAATAACTGTTGCTATTATTTTACATTTCATAAATCAGTAAGATTTTTGTCTTTTTTGGTAAAAAATTGAAATACACAACAGCTCTGGACTAATGAAAGCTGGTGGGAAGTCACTGGCTGGGTGCACTCCACCCTCCTTCCACCTGGCTTCTTGCTGGACACCCGGTGGCCGCGTTACCTTCTCTTCCCAGCGCCAGTCCTGAGCTGTGCGTGTCTTTCAGAGTCGGGGGTCAGCTCTGACGAGGACGATGACGACGAGGGAGATGGGAGTTACCTGCACCCGTCTCTCTTCGCTGCCAAGAAGTGTGACCGCCTGGAGGAGCTGATGAAGGTGCTTGTCTGTCGAGCCTTGTGCACCCCGTGGCGAGACCTCTGCTAATTTGATTTCAGGAAATTATTAAGCAAGCATTTCTTTTGTGTAATTGCTGGGTCTTACTGGATCACGTGGAGGTCTGCTTTGCATTTTTGTGTTTTGCTTGGTGGCAGAGGGTTTACTTTATTTCTCTTTTATCTCACCTTGTAAAATTCATGAGCAAATTATTTTCATTTGTTATAACTGTGCCAATGGGATGTTTACAGTAAGGAAAGTGCCGGCTGAGACGTGGAAGTTGTTTTGTTGTGCAGAATTCAGCTGTCCAGAGTGTGTGCTGCTGGAAATGGTCTCTTACCTTCACAGCAACATCACATGTTACCTAAAACCACACTTTTCTTCTGATCTTCCCTCCTCCTGTTGTGAAGGAGTCGCTCAGCACGGTCATGTGGTCGGGGCACACACATGCGCTCGGCGTCACACTGTGTGGCTGACCCGGGAATAAAAGCTGCTGGTGATTAAAAATCGGAAATTTCTCTGAGAAAGGACAGAGTTTCCAGTTGTGGGTGGATTTGGATGCTCGCATTGTATCAGTAGCAACCTAGTTCTGGTCCATCCTCCTCGCTTTCCTTAGCGGGTATTAGGAAGATCAATACCATCTGTCTACTCAGTTCCTCCAGGAATTGCAGTGAGGTAGAATGCTGGGCCAGTTGGGGCGCTCCTGCGCGTGTGTGTACAGGTGTGTGTGTGAGCACATGTGCATGTACTGAGGGTGTCCTGAAGCGTGCATACTGTGTTCTGGAGTCGAGCTGAGCCTCCTTGCACAGAAGAGCTCTGTTTGACTCGGAATAGGGGAGACAGTGTGACCGTGCTCCCTTCTTCTGCAGCCTTTGAAGGTGGTGGACCCAGATCATCCCCTTGCCATGCTGGTCCGAAAAGCCCAGGCCGACAGTCCGGCCCCCACCCCTCCCTCGGCAGATGGCACAGCTGGGCAGCCCTCCCAGGTGGAGTTCACCTCTGACTGTGAGTACCTCGCTGTGCGCCTCCCTCCCGCCTGCAACAGCTGCAGGCTTAACTAGCAGGTGTCCCAAGAGGTGTGGAGGCAGGCAGTGCAGGACTGTTAGAGGTGCCATCCTGAGCATCCGGCCTTGTCCTTGCGTTTGTCACCACGTGCAGCATCAGCTCTGCATTCCCTGAAGGGCAGGAGGTGGCAAGGGCTGGAAGCAGATCTTGGCTGACATTGCCCCTCTTCAGAGACCTCCCAACAGCCATGCCTGGGGACTTCCCTTAGCTCTCCTGGGCCAGGATGGTGTCATGGTGCCATCCTGTCTTGCAACAGGGGCTGGGAAATGGGCTTCCCGTTGGACGTGTGGTTGCCCTAAACAGGACCAGAGCCGTGTTAAGAATGGGGAGAGTGGACCCGCAGTGTTGTCTGTCAGTCGCTTCCTTATAAGACACATGCTCCTTAGAACTAGTTACAGCTCCCGCTTCCTCTCACTGACTGTTGTCTTTGGTCTTTAATTATTCATAGAGGGCAGAGCTTCAAGTTCTTTCCAGGAAATCATTTGAAAGTATTTGACCTTGATCTCACTCTCCCGTCTTAAGTTATTTCCTTCAGGGATTAACTATTGAAGGAGAGAAGAGCCTGTAGCAAAGCCACAGAACTCGTTTATTCAGCTCCTCACATGGAGATCTGATCTGATGAATCTGCCTAGAAAGCTGTCTCTGTCAGAGGTTGGGGAGTGGTCCTGAGATGAATTCTCTCCTGCAGTGTAAGCGGCTCATTCTCGGGACCAGGCTCAGGCTAGCTTGGAGCTGTGCCCTCTCGCCCATCCCTGCAGCACTGGCACCAATCATGCATTGCTGTTGCGTGCTATTACGTTTCTTGACTTTAAACGTAGTTATGCGAGTGACCTAATATGTGTGTCCTACCAAACCTCTTAGGGAGCATAAGTGGTTTCTTTACACAATTAGACCAAGTCAGGCCGCATTTCTTTGGGTGTTGAAAGCAAAGAGCAGGTCTGGCCTCACAGTGCACTGCCTGTCACTTGCTGATTAAGTCGAGCAGCCGAAGCCCAGTGCACATGTCAGGCTCGGGCTCTCCCTGGGCTGAGGCATCTGTACATCCCTGGCACCCCTGCTCTTGGCTGAGTAGAACGTCTCTCTGGCTTCCTTGCTTTTCAAACTTTTCTGAAGCTGCATGCATTAAATGCTGTGTCCTTGCACTTCCACTGGCTCCTGAGGCTGTTAAACTTTGTTGCCCAGGGAAGGAATAGATTCAGGGCAGGTGACCATAGCTGATTACCTTCTGCTCTTATCACTTTGCATGCATGCAGCCAAATGTTGAGGTTGGTGATGCTGCTTCGTGTCTGTAAACCCACAGGGCTGGGTGGGAGAGGGTTAGGCCCAGCAGTGGGGCAGGCTGAAAGTGGCTGCTGCGCAACACGTGGAGTCACCACGAGATCCAGAGGGGTTGCTGGCTTCAGAGGGCTCACTGTAGTCCCTCCTGCAGGGCCCCGTAGGCCAAGATGAACTGTGGGAGACTCCCTGCCTGGTCCATGGTCCCCAACCAGAAGAGCTCCAGCAGGGAGCACAAGTTAGTAACTATTGCTTCCCCTCAGTCAAAGTTGTTTTCATATCTGTCTTTTCCCTCATACAGTGGGAGAGCGACAGGGCGTTCGGGGGTTGTGCCGGGTGTTCCGGTTCAGGTTTTGGACATGTGCCCAGTGGGGACCAGCCTCTGTCTAATCTGTGCAACCCAGCAGAGATGAAGAGCCTGTGCAGGCAGGGCCGTGGTGGGTGGGACGTGGTTGCCCTGCAGGGCCAGGACCCAGGGTTTCCAGAGAAGCTGGAAATCCAGAACGTTTAGTGACAGATCAGCTTACAGATGTTGGCAGTAAATTCACATCTTGTAAAAAAACAAGACATACAGCAATCCAGGCACTGCTCACAGGTGCCCCCGCATCCAGCCTCTGCTATGCAGGCAGGAGGGGTGGTAGTGCAGAGGCAGTGAGACCGAGGGTAGCACAGAGCTGATTGGTAGAGACTGCTCAGCTGCGGTCAGCTCTGCTAAGGCTAGGGCAGGAGGGAACACCTGGACTCCAGGTGGTGAAGAGATGGAGACCTGGGACAGACCCCCTTGGGGGACTTGGCTGTGAAGAGAGACAGGGACAGTGCCTAGTGGAGCACAGCGTCCCTGTGAGAGCACTTCTGTGAAATGGGCCCTCAGGGTCCCCTCAGCAGTGCCTGTTCAGGACCTGGGATCATAGGGAGAGGTGGTCTGATCCTGTTTCCAGGAAGAACCATGACTGCAGCGTTGGCTGTAGGTCAGAATGACACCTAGCAGAAATGAGTGTGAACACCTGCATGCAGGCTCTCAAGGTGTTTGCTCTTACTTGTGGTTAGCCTTTGGTTAGCTAGGAAATAGTGAGAACATGAAAAGTTTGGAACTGTAAAGGGAGACATGCCGTCAGGCCATAAAGTGGGCCGTGGCCGTGGAAGAGCTTGCAGGGCCTAGGACGTTGGTGGCTGAACAAAATATGCTGTGTATGGCCTGAAACATCTTTCACTGTGAAGCATGAAAGTGAGCAGCCAGCCCGTCCTGAGACGTGGGGCTGTGGCCAGACGGGGGTGTGGGGTGAAGTGAGCACAGGCCTGGTAGCCAATTATGGGTTCACTTCCGGTCACTTTCAGGCTTTCACAGCCACTTTGCCGCTGCCAGCCCCGCAGCCATTTTCATAAGCAGCTGACCTTTATTCTGCTCCCAAGGACTCGGTTTCATTTCCGCAGAAACAATAATACTTTCTCACTCAGATTTCATCTGTTGGCATAAATTTTCATTAAATACGTTATTACACTAAGGTTAACTGGAAAAAGTAGTTTAAGAGAAAAACTGGTGGTAAAAGCAAAAAGGCCCAGCTGTCTACAGAGGAGCAGTTGTGTCCTGGTGTGGTGGTGGTCAGGGTACCACACACCCAGCCCAAACCAGGAAGCTCTGAGGCAGGACTGATTTTGACCCCAGATAGCGCCCAGTGAGAGAAGTGCCTAAAAAGGGAGGTGCACCAGCTAACAAAGGAGCGACCTCCACCCCTTATCCAACAGCAGAATCTCTTCCAGGTGTGAGTGCCAAATGTGATACCCCCCGGAAATAAGGATACTTTAACAGATAAAGCTTCATCTCTTTTAAGCCAACAGACACATTCAACTAATGGAAAAAATAAAACTGTTGAGAAAGCAGAAAAAACTGCCTAACATATGAACAGCTTTTACAGTCCAGTTGGAAGCAAGAACTAATATTCCGGTAGAAAAACAGCTTTCACAGTCAAATAAGAAACAGTAATCCAGTAGAAAACAAACTGCAGTGTGCGTGATCACAAGGTTAAGTGGCCAGACCTTCTAAAGGCTGGCTCTCGCTCCCCACTCAGGTGGCATTATGCCTGCGACTTCAGGAGCTAACCTCCACCGGAGGTGACATCCTGTTCCATGGGCCAGACCGTGCAGACGTGACAGGAACGGGACTTCCAGCAGGAAGTTGCACACGCAGGCATAGAACATATCAGAATCATAAGTCTTAGGGCAGAGTCAAGGTTTCTGGGTTGTTAAAAATGTTATTTCACATATGCAAGTTGAAATTCTTAGGAATTGAAGAAATTAAATAGATGCAACCCAGTGGTGGGCTGTTTTTCGGCTGTCACAAGGCAGGGAGCTTGTTGGCAGGTGCTCATGTTCTGGGTGTAGATGGGGTTTGTGCACAGTGTGGAGGGCAAGCTGCTAGCATGTGTCAGGACCCAAGAGGCACAGGCCCCTGATCCAGGATATCTGCTGTAATCTACAAATACATGTGTGCAGACGGAGCTACAAGAATGTTCCCTGTGAGATGTGCTGTGCAAAGGAGGGCTGTTGGGGTGAGTGTGCGTGTGCTCACGGTCTGCGGGGAGATTTGTGTGCTCTGGGGACGCTCCAAGACAGTGCTGGGTAAGGGAAACGTCCCTGCTCTTCTGTGGGCTGCTCTAACAGGACAGTGGTGCTGTCAGAACCGGGCTGGCTCCCAGGCCTGGCTCGTCCACACTAACCTGTCCTGGAACATCTTAACTGCTCAGAAAAAAGGCAGGCTGATCTGATGCTTATTTTGAAACTAGACTAGTATCCTGAGCTCATTCTTTGCAAATCTGTGATTTCTATTTGCAGTCCCCAGGCTGTTAGGACAGCTCTCAGGGACAGCAGTCCCTGCGCCAGCTTCCCCCCATACAGGCCAGGCTGCCCGCCCGCTGGGCCCATCTCAGAGCTTGGAGTCACCAAGCTTTCCCTTCTTTTTGAATTAGTAGGTATTTAATAACCACCTTAGGATGAACGCAGACCTGCCTTGTTTACTTTTTGCTGGTCAGAGATCTTCCTAGATTCTGGCAGCTGAGGAAGAAAGGCCTCCGTCCCTATTTTAAATGAGTTTTATCTAGAGACTCCCTAAATGTAGGTGAGGAAAACTAGAAAGCTCTCATTTGTTTGCCTGACAATGAACTGTTTTTCATGCTCTTTATTTCCTGTTATGATTTAGTTTTCTTCTGCTGTTTAGCTGTAAATCCTTGCAGAAGGGTCCGATAACTAAAGCTAATTATGCTGGAAGCAATAATACTGAAATACTGCCCAATACTATAGCATGCAGCTTTTTAAAAATAAAGCAAAAAAAAGTAAAATGCTAACTTTGTTTTTTAATGTTTCATTCTATAAATAGTGTAAGTGAAATTAAACCACATGATGTGGCTAGATTTGCTATTTTCTTGGGTCTGTCCATTTTTTAAATGTGGTTTGACTATTGTGTTCATGACATTTTCTCTTTTTTCTGCAAAATCATGACCTTGAAGTGCTTGCTTACTTTCCAAGCCCTTTTTAAAGTGGCTTTATTGTCAATCAAGAGAAGTAGAAGAGCCCGGCTGGGTGTGGCACAGTGGTTGAGCATCGACCTAGGATCCAGGAGGTTGAAGTTCGATTCCTGGTCAAGGCACTATGCCCTGGTTGCAGGCTCTGTCCCCAGTCAGGGGCGTGCAGGAGGCAGCCAATCAATGACTCTCCCATCATTGATGTTGCTATCTCTCTCCCTCTCCCTTCCTCTCTCTGAAATTAATAAAGATACATTTTTTAAAAAAAGAAATAGAAGAAAGTAAAGATAATACCCGAGACCCCACCATTTAGAAATAGCCATTTTAACATCATCAACCCAGTGGGAAACACTGAGGTAATTGTAGTTAAGAGGAAAAACAACTCACACTACAACCCAGAGGGAATCTTCACGTAAGTATTAAAAACTCAAAACTTCTTACTGTGAGGGTCACCAGTGAAGACTAAATAGTGGTTGGGGCAGGCTTTTCTAGAGGAAAGTTCATTTGCTAAAGAGAGATCCCTTTTAAACATGGGCTGAACTCTCCAAGTAGCACATCCCTATCTATAGCCAGTCCCCCTGAGTGGGTCTCCAGCCTGTAGACGTGCTGTCCTGGGACACTGCAGAGTGGCAGCTGTGCTGCTCCGCTTGCTGACCATGGAACAAGCTTCCTTTTGTGGGGGACTGTGTTTTTTCACAGCAGGTTGTCTGGAGGTCACGGAGTGAATGGACGGGGCTGTGATGGCCACATGTGAGGCTCTGTCTCACAGGCAGAGCCCTCAGTTGTTGTTCCTCATGGGCCTGGCTTTTGTTCCTCTTGGGCTCTGGCTTTTCTCAGTTCTAACCTTGGGGGATGGGAAGGGCAGGAGTACCTTTTACCTGAGCGCCAGGGGCATGGCATTGTAGGGAGGTTTTGGTCTATTTGAGGTTTTTTCTGGAGAGCTAATAGGAAAGCACCCCGCCTGAAGCCTGAGATGAGAATGGCCAGAGGGGTCTTTTAGGAATTCTTAAAGATTATCCCAGGCAGGAAGTGAAGCCAGAGTCTTGAACGGAGACCAGGGGACAATTGAGGGAACCTGATGAAGGGAGAGAGGTTTCAGCCTGCTCTCTGTTCTGCTTCTGAAAGACCCAGACTGCTCTGTTCAGCACATGCTGCCTGCGGCAGGCTGCAGGAGCAGGCAGCTGAGGTTCCTGCTTCTCCGATGTGCTCAGCCTGTCGCACGCACTGTGTGAAAGCAGTGCAGCCTCAACACTCATACAGTCCAGTGGGTCTGGGCTTTTCAGAGGAAACTTGTTCTTCTCTGTAGACCTCAGGAAAGCTATTTTCATTCTTAATACAGACACGTTGTTTATCTTCCCTGAACTGGCTCCTTGCAGGGGGGTTACTCACCAGCTCTCTGATCCCCAGGAACCCTTTCAGTTTGCGGTTTGTCTTCTGGGAGTTAGGTTTATATGAGATTAATATGATGTGGAAATACCAGTAAATTGGTGCTGAGTCTCGCAGGAAGCAGCTGAATAAAGGTGCTGGGAGGGTAATTAGGCAGATCTCGGCCGTGGCGCAGGGTGGCTGCATCTCTGAGCAGCGCAATGTTGAGGACATGCTTGCCAATGTGCCTGACGCTCTCAGCGGCTGGGTTTTCCATTCAGCTTCACAGTGACACCAGTGTGAAGGCGTCCATGAGAAAGGGGCCTAGAGGGCAGGGCATCAGTGTCACTGCAGGGACACCAGCGCAGGGGACCAGGCATATGGAGGCAGGTCACACAAGAAAAGGGTAGTTTGCCACTTGAGAGGGTCCTTGTTCCTTGTCTGCATGCTCTGAGTTGGGGAGAGCGTGATTGGTCCAGGCCGGTCGGCATTGCCTGCTTCACTCTCCATCATCCCTGGTGCATCTGAACATTGCCTGGTCCTTGATGTAGGGGGCGGCCTTTCTTGTCTCAGAAAAGTGTAGACACGACGTGGTTGGGAGTGGACAGTGATGCGCTGGGAGGCGCCCCTCATGCTGCATCGTGAGCCTCAGCACCAGCCTGTCCCATGCCACTCACCCCAAACCTGTGTTCACAGCGACGGTGGCTGCCATGTACTACAGCTACTACATGCTCCCGGACGGCACCTACTGCCTGGCACCTCCCCCCCCGGGCGTCGACGTGGCCACCTACTATAGCACCCTGCCAGCCGCGGTGGCTGTGTCCAGCACTGCCGGAGTGACAGCCACTGCCCCGCCACCTCCCGGGACCACGCCACCTCCGCCCCCCACCACTGCGGAGACGAGTAGCGGGGTGACCTCTACCACCATCACCACAAGGTACGGTATGCTCCTGTTCCTGCAGGTGCTCTGGTGCACTGTGCTCTTGGGTGGGGGGGTCTTTGTAATCTGGGTCATGTGGACAGTCTCTGTTATCTGAGTATTTATTATCCAAATCCCCTAGTTACAGAGTTGATGGGGCAGTGAAAACTGTCCTAACAAACACAGCAGTGAGTTCTAGGCACTTAGAGGTGTGTCCTGTGGAGCAGCCCCACAGCACCCCTGTCCCAGAGCCATCCTCACCGTGTGCAGACACTGCAGTTGGGCAGAAGGAGGCAGGTTTGTGGGGGTGAAGCTGCAGCTTTGTACAGTTGATGGAAGCAAGTCTTGTGGCTGTTGACAGAGGGGGGCCTGGCCATTGGACCAGTTGCTGGGAATTAACCAGCAGTGCCCGGACCCCAGTACCTATCATGGCCAAGAGTGGTGGCCCTCACATGTGGGGGCCGAGCAAGCACACGTGTCACGGGCACTCAGAGGCCCTGGGTGGCATCAGTGTGAAGAGAGGCTCTCTCTAGACACCTGCATTTCTGCACAGGTGACCCACTGTCAGTCATGCTAGCAAGTCAGATGGCGCACAGGATAGTCCTACAGCTGCTTTCATTCTTAAACGTAAAAGAGTCAGCACTTGATTTGTTCTTGTTGCGCCTAAGAATCAGCTCATGCTGGAGGGAAGTGTGAGGAAAGATGAGCCTGTTCTATAGCTTCCGTCTCGTTTTCACCGTTGGCACTGCTACTTTGGTTCCCGTTGTAAGTGGCTTGACTCCGTCGGTGTCATGAGTCATCCCGATGAACAGCTTGTGCGTGTGGTCTGCAAGGTGGTGCTTGTGTGAGGTGCCTCACTGTGACCTGACTGGCTCCCCTCTGCAGTGCTCTTGCTCCCGTGGCCGCCATCATCCCCCCGCCCCCTGACATCCAGCCCGTGATAGACAAGCTGGCTGAGTACGTGGCCAGGAACGGCCTCAAGTTTGAGACCAGCGTTCGTGCCAAGAATGATCAGAGGTGAGGTGGAGGTTCTGTGTGGGTTACGTTGATGGTCATTGGGGGTTGGTTTAGCTTCTTTTTTAAAAAAAAATCTAGCTGCATAATTTCTTAATTTTAATGCTTTTATTCCTTATATGTTTAGTTAAATACATCTTGTGATTATGCCATTAAATTACTTAGCGTTGGGGTGGTGATTTTTTTATTGTGTTACCTAGTTTTTTCCTTATTTTGTGTTTTGGTTAATTTTTATTTTTTAATCAAGCAATGTTTTGTGCCCTGGGTAGTAAAACATGAGGTTGGGTTTACAGTGTGATGTGCCTGACAGGGATGAGCATTTTACCTCCCGTGCCTCTGTCTTCCTTGTCTATAAACGGATGAGGCGTCAGTGTGGCTGCTGCGCAGAGTTGTTGAGGTCCTAGTTGGCTATCATAATGTATCTGCGTCTGGCTTCCAGCAGGTGCACAGTCACCACAGCCAGTGCCGTCCCTGGGACCCATGCATGTGTGGTGATGACCCTCTGGTGTCCTGTTCTGTCGGCAGGTTTGAGTTCCTCCAGCCCTGGCACCAGTACAACGCCTACTATGAGTTCAAGAAGCAGTTCTTCCTGCAGAAGGAAGGGGGCGATGGCGCTCAGGTACCTGTTGGCGTGAGGCCGGGCAGGGTGAGCAACTCTGGTTTTCAGGAGCAGAGAGAACTGTTTGTTCTCAGGACGTATGCAAGTGGTGGTTGGTTTTACGCTTGTTTTTAGGTGTGCTATCCATTAGCGTTTGCTGACTCTAACTTTGCCCACCTCACAGTTGAAACCTGTTTTAAATCTGTTGAAAGTTTCACACACATTCCAAGTCATTAGTGATCAGTCACTTGTCCAGCACATTCTGAAGTACAATCCCATTTCTTCAGGCATTTGATGTTTCAGTTGGCTGTTTTTTAAGCACGTTTGGTGGAAGCCATGGACTATCCTGTTGCATTCACAGAGTCTTAGGTTTGTAAAGTGTAGCACATACGCCCACACCGGTGTGGCTACCGGTGCTGTCCTTGGTGGACGCCTGTGGCCTGGGCACTGCCCCCCAGCAGCTCCCCGCACCTTCCCTCCCACAGGTGTTCCCACAGTCTCTTCCTGCCCTTGTCACCCTTTCTGCTGCCTGACTCTGCCCTCTTCAGCTATGTGGACGCCCTGGCACCTGTCAAGCCTGTCGTGATGGAGAGCGCAGGGTGCATGCCTTATCAGTGGGTTTCCTCCCTCTTGTCTCTGGTTGCTCAAAATGAAGAAAACTGACTGTGGGCAGTGGGCATTGTTTGGTTTCTACAAGTGTTCTCGGTCATCGGTCCCCAGGAAAAAGTGGTGAACACTGGTTCCCACAGTGTTCTTCCAGGGGGTGCCTCCAACCGCTGCTCTCTCCACCCTCCTGTAACACAGCAGCAGGTCTGAGCTGGAGAGCACAGTCCTCACTGGCTCAGGCAGCCCATAGAACTGCTGCTGTCCATTGAACGATCTACGCCTGCCAAGACCCTGGTTTGACAGCCCATGTCCTCTCCTGAGGAGTGGTCTCAGTCCCTCAATGTCTGCAGGCTGCGTCCGCACCAGAGGAGGCTCCTGCAGAGTCTGCTCCTGACAAACCAAGTGACCTGGGGGAGGAAGGCGTGGCTGAGGACCCGGCCGACACGGGAGGAAGAGGCAGCTCAGGGGGAAAAAAGGAGTCTGCGTCCAGCAAAGCCACCCAGGATGGGAAGCTTGTGAAAGGTACGCTGTGCCTGGCCTTCCGTTCACAATGAGGGGCTCTGGGTTCCTGAAGTGAGGGCCGGCTCCAGGCAGTGCCACAGCTCCCTGCTTGTGGACCCCGGGTCAGCGCAGGAATACACTTGCTTAGCATCCTGCTCTAGCAGGTTAGAGGGCACCTATAGAATATTTCACAGGTCTGGGTTGGGAGAGCCTAGGGGCTCAAGTGTCGTCACCGACAGTCACAACCCCCCGGAACCTGCTGTGTGACCCCAACTCCTCTTCCTTCTCAGAGGCAGCTGGTTCGCACTTTATGTAGTTGGAATTTTTTAGAAATACCTGTTTGCACTGGAGTCACATCATATGCCAACTTAGGCAACTTCAGCTACATGCTGCGCTCAGGAATTGGTTGTTTACAGATACACTGGCTTGTCCTGCACTCAGTGTGCCCCTCAGTGTGGCAGCTCCAAGATGGAGCTGCAGGATGAGGGTCCCTTTGTCAGCACATGGTCCTCACCGGGGGCCACCCTGCCTCACTGCGAGTGGTGTGCGTGCAAACAGTCCCCTTGACAAGGCAGGGTTGCTCACTGCCCCAGGACCCCCTTGAGACGTTCCTCTCACCAGCTGGGGCTCGTGGATGGTGGGTCCCAGGAGGATTCTTGCTCTGTGCTTCGTTACCTAAAAGTGTCACCATTTCACCTTTTCTCCATAGCTTCATTTGCTCCAATAAGCTTTGCAATCAAGGCCAAAGAAAACGATCTACTTCCCCTGGAAAAAAACCGCGTTAAGCTAGATGATGATAGTGATGATGATGAAGAGAACAAAGAGGGACAGGAAAGCGCTAGCGCTGCTGCAAACACGGACCCCGTGGTGGCCCCGCCCTGTGTGGTTGTCGAGGAGAAGCGGCCCCAACTCACCCAGGAGGAGCTAGAAGCCAAGCAAGGTTGGTCAGGGCATGTTACACTTGGTGGTTAATTTAACCTGCTGAGCTGGCAGTGCTGAGACTGCCTGCCAGGGTCTCCAGCTTCGGAGTCGGAGCCACTGGAGTTGGCGATGCTTTTGCGCTGTGGCAGGACCGTTCTCCATCAGCATCAGGCAGTGCCAGGGGCAGCTTGTGTTCAGAGCGTACCAGGGCCTATAATGGAGGCACCTTTTTGCTAAGGTGGCAGCCTCAGGGCAAACGCTTGCACTCCCATCTGGGGCTAATGTGTGACTGAGAGGTGGGAGTCTTTCTGTAAGGCTGTCTCTCAGCAGAGCCCTCGGGCCCCTGATGGTGATACAGGCCCAGGCTGCTCTCCAGGCTGTGGTTCATCCTTACGGGTCACGACATGGCCACTGCCTGCCTCTGCTAGGCAGCCCCAGCCTCCTGCCTCCACTGCAGAACAAGCAATGTTCTTCTCTGAAGTGGTTGGCAATTGCTTTTCATCTGTGTCTGTCCAACTGGGTGGTGTAAGTCACTCTGTGTGCACATGAGCAGGTTGAGCCGCGGTTGTGGAAGGTCGTGTTTTAACCACAAGGTGCCTTCCTGTCAAGACTTTGTGCTGAGCTGCTCATGACACATATCAGCTCTGCACTGTGTGTGAACAGTGTCCTAGTGTGTCACTCACCTGCCGGGGGTGTCCCACACCTGTGTCTCAGAGCCAGCCCAGGTTCCCACTGTCCCTCATGGGAGCCCATCCCCGGCTGACTTTAATTTTGAAAGGGAAACCTTAAAATGCTACTAATAAGCATTACAAACTAATTCTCTCAAAGTTCTGTTGGTCCAGTTTCTTTACCTGTCCTGAAGTTCCTGTCTCGTCATCCTCTAAAGTAACTGTGTTGAGGTTCATGACCCTTGTGAAAGTATAGGTAGGAAGGTTTTGGTGGAATACTGCCTGCTCTAAGCATCATTTTTTCTTTATTTATTCCTTAAGCAAAGCAAAAGCTGGAGGACCGACTGGCAGCTGCTGCCCGGGAAAAGCTGGCCCAGGCGTCCAAGGAATCGAAGGAGAAGCAGCTTCAGGCAGAGCGGAAGAGGAAAGCTGCCCTGTTTCTACAAACCTTAAAAAACCCTGCGCCAGATGCGGAGCTTGGGAAAGTCGAGGAGAGTCCCTTCAGCGTGGAGGTGAGTGCACGGAGGTCCGAGGAAGCCGTGAACGTGGACTCCTCCAGCTGCTCAGCTCTCCGGCCTCAGTGGGGCGCTTAGCAGGGGGTGCTGCTGTCATTGTCAGAGACCTGGGCTTCCAGGCCCCATCTGTGGGCTCTGCTTTGTGGCTCCCTCACAGCCCCTGCCACCACCAAGCTCCTGCAGAGGTTCTCATGCAGGGATGTGTGCAGTATCCCAGCTTCAGTCAAAGCAGGTCTTCTTTCAAGAGGGGTCCAGGCCTCCCAGATGCTTTCTGAGCTGTGTGGGGTCAGAGAAGCTGCCCTGCAGGGCTGCTGACTATGCCTGCTTCACTTCTCAGATGACCCCACATGTCAGTGTAGCTGCCATCCCTCCTCTGCAGCAGGCCCTGCACTTGATCTACTATGATCACAGTCACATTGCTACGAGCCTGGGCCCTTATTTAAAACTGGCTTTTGCTGCACTTCGCCTGTTGGTTGGTTTTTCTGTGGAAAGCAGCATCCTGTGTTCAGATGATCAGCGTTCTGTGAGGCCGAGTCGGCTTTCTCACCTCAGAGTCAGTCTGAAATTCTCTCAGGAATCATAGCTGGGGTGGGTGGAGGGGCAGCAAGGGTGTGTTGTGTGAGGTCCCATCTGTGGGCCCTGCCTGAGCCCCAGCCCTTGGGGACCCTGCTCTTTGCTTCCCCAAGGTGCATCCAGGCTGGGCGCCACTGGGCCGCCCACAGCGGAGAGGTCCAGGGAGAGGCCCATGCGGGTATTGCCTGGCTCCAGAAAGACCTCGCTGACACAGAGGTTAAATTTGAGCAGTTGACGTGGTCACTAGCACACTGATGGCAGAGAAAGGGGCTTTTGACACAGTAAGGGAGAGCCGAGTACAAGTCTCTGCCACCTTTGTGGCTGCAGCTACAAGAATTACATCGTAGCCATGGGTGGGAGCTGGAGACTGGGAGTGTGCAGACTGCTTTCATTTCCTTTATTGTCCCGATGTCACGCGTGCCGTGAATAAAGGGCTTAATTAAAAGCCATCTGCACACGGATGCTTTACCCGATCATATCACATGCCGCATCTGTATTTCCAGTGTGACTGTTTTAATGAGAACTCGTCCCCACCACAGTCATTCCTCTGTCCTGCGTTCCTGTCTGCCGTGTCACCTGTCACGGCCCAGGTCACTGCCTCGTGGGCACAACAGGCTGCTGCTGTTTGTCCCCTCTGTGGTCCCCACCTCTCGTTTTCCAGCATTTGTTGGGAATCTGAGACAGAGACGTGAGTGTTTATGCTTCTTGTTAAATCGCTAGGTCGATCCTGCTGGGTGTCTAGCGGGAGAGATTGTCGCTACTAAACGATTTCAACAAAAATGCGATGGCACTAGCAGACGGTGATGAATGCCTTTAATTGCTTTGAAACAAAAATACTTGAATTAAATTGGCAATTGTCATAAATGAGATTCACGCTCGGAAATATTTCCAGCCTAAAGTAGCTTCTGGAGACGGTGCCTGACTCTGCCGAGCATTCAGGTGCAGGATGCCCTGATCCCAGCCCACAGTGCAGGGTTTCAGCTCCCGGAGTGGTGGAGACTTAGTGGTGGGCCCCGTGGGAGCCGACCATCTTTGGTGTCTGCGTGTTCTTACTCCAAGTGGAGAGAAACCAGACATCCTAAAGTGCACCTTTTGAGTTGGTATACGATCGTTCACACAACAGGCTTCAGGACACTCTTTAGGTGACAGAAGTGTGTTCAAGTTAATGATCCTGCTGAGTTTACAGGTCCAGCCAGAGTTTGAAAAGGAAACAGGAACAAAACCAGCATGTTTGCCAAGCCTGGTACCCTCCCAGCACCAGGCACTTTAGGTTGTGATGAGAAGTCTGTTTCGCACCCAGTGACCATAAAATCGCACACGGTCGACGCCGCGCACGAGCATGTCCACCAGGGTGCTGCAGGCACGGAGCAGCTCTGAGGTGATGAGCCGGTGGGGATGGCCCGGGCCTCCAGGAGACAGAGGTGGCCTATGGCCTGCAGCCACCTCCATCGGAGAGGGGTTTGTTGAGGACTGGGCTAGGACGAGGCCTTGAGCAGCCACCCCTAGTTTGGAGAGGTGACAGACCCCAGGAGGCTTGATCAGCTCAGAGGGTCTGTGGAGGAAGAGGCAGAGTTGGTGGCCCGCGAACGGATGTGGGAGAGCCTGGCCTCGGGAAGCAGGCAGATGTAGACGAGAGTGTGTCGGGCCGACGGGAGCCCAGGCCAGCCAGATGGGGGACACGGCACCAGCAGAGCAGGAAGTGGTCAGGTCGTCCTGAAAACCGCATCCACCACACATCTGGCAGTGGGGCTGCTCCTGGGCAGCGGGGAGGACACTTTTCCAAGTGTGAAGCCTCGGACTTGGTAGACGATCTCGAGTGTGTGCAGCTGCCCATGTTCTGGTTGATGCTATTTGAGACCCACTCCGCCTGCTCTCCAGAAGTTCCCTGCCCACAGTGGGGACCAGTTGCTGTCCGTTCCAGTGCTGATTTGTGAGCAAACACATCGTGGTGACCAGAGGACGGATCGGAGTTATTGCCATATTATTAGAGCAGGGATGGCGTGCAGTTTACGCTTACGAATGACTCATTTCTCAAAGGTTCCCCCCTGATTTCTCCCAGACACTCTGGCAGCCGGCCTGTGTGCTCCCTCCCCCGTGATGATTTCTACTCTAATCACTTTTGCTGCAACGTTCATATTCCGTCCACTGTGGGACGGGCTCAGCCAGGTGCCTCCCGACACAGCCACGCAGGCGAGGTCTGTGCTCACCGGTGGCTCATATCCCATTGAATTAATGGGCAGTGGAGCCTCTGTGGTTAAGCCACAAGTAACATTTACATTGAAACGTATTATTTTTTCAGGATTTGTCTCTTCCAATGTGGTAGCCAGTAGCCACACATGGCCACTTAAGGTTAACTTAATTAAAATTAAATGAAATTCACAGGCCACAGTGCCTGCGCTCAGGCCCATCGATGCCAGGAACTCTGGCTGAGGAGCTGGTGGGCTCTCTTCTGTTCCCATGTGATGGCTGATGGCTTGGGGCTTTGATTGTACCTGTTAGAAACCCCCACTGCCCTCAGGTAGCTTTCCCCGGTCCACACTCGGGGTCAGGATGTCACAAAGGTCTGTCTCCAGCTCTTCTGCCCAGAGCCCACCCTCTGGGCTGAGGCACAGGTAGGGGTCTGCCAGCTCCTTCCCAGGCTGAGGGTGGGTGGCGGTTGTTTTTGCAGGGTTTGGGTTTGGTTTGCAAACTCACTTTTTATTTTACAACGTGACGTGGACCAGTGTTCCTTGTAAAAGGTGAACACTGTCTGGCCACCATATTGAACCAGGGCTCTGTGGTGGCCGTTCCAGTGGTTTGTGACTCCTGTCTCTCCTTCAATAAACTTTTGCTTTCTCTTAAAAAAAAGTCAAGAGCAGCATCTTTTGTTTGGGCTTCCTCTCCTCTCGGTGGCACAGACGTTCGTGAGCACTGAAGGCTGAGGTCTGGGGGTCTCTCTTGGTGCAAAGTCGCAGTTATTTATTTTATTTTTTTAAACATATCTTTATTGATTTCAGAGAGAGGAAAGGAGAGGGAGAGAGAGAGATAGAAACATCAATGATGAGAGAGTCATTGATTGGCTGCAGCCCACAACCCGGGCATGTGCCCTGACCGGGAATCGAACCCCGATCGCCTGGATCCTAGGTCGACGCTCAACTGCTGAGTCACTCCCGGCCGGGCAAGTCGCAGTTATTTATAAGAGCGAGTGCGGCCCTCTCAGCAGTGTCTGCTCATCCTGTGGACATGGGGGGGCCTTCCCTGGGCTGTTCCGAGGGGCTATGCGCTGCTCTCCTCTCAGGTATGGGGAGTGGCCCCGTCCCCCACGAGGGCCCACGTGGGCGCTTTTAACACTGTGTCCCCGCTGACACCCAGATGTTGCTTCTGTTCACAGGAAGCCGGCCCTGCGGCCTGTCCTCTCCCAGGCGGGGGCCGACCGCTACCAACTTTAGACATTAAGGCCCCGGAAGGGCCCCCAGGCAGGAGCAGGGATGCCCCCCGAGAGGATGGGAGGGAAAAGAAGAAGAAGAAGCACAGGAGACGCTCCCGGACGCGATCCCGCTCCCCCCGGCACCGCGCACCCCGGGCCAGGTCTCGGTCCCACTCCAAGGCCAAGCACTCGCTCCCCAGCGCCTACCGGACAGCGCGGCGCTCCAGGTGGGTGTGCTCCAGGTGGGTGTGCGTATCTGC